TCTCAAACTCTTGCCCTCAAGTGATCCACCCATCTTCGCCTCCCAAAGTGCTGGGATTACAGGCATGAGTCACCATGCCCAGCGCAGCATTAACCTTTTAGAAGCTGGAAAGTAGATGAATGAGTGGTCACTGGCTTAAGGCTGAGTCCTAATGGAGCAGTGAGGAAAGTTGGGGACCCCTGGCCATATGTACCATAGAACCCCCAAAAGGCATGGTGTCTGGCAGCAAGGGATGCCCCTGGAGCTGAGGGGTAAGGAGGGTACCAAAATGCGAAGGACTGGGTAGAAGACTCCCAGGTCCCCTCCTCTGTCTCCTGTGGCGGGGGCTGTCCACTTCGACCCCAACAGAAGGCAGCAGTTCAAAGGGACATATAGAGGGTCTTGGGAGAGGGGATCGACAGGCACAGTTGAGGGCATGGGGCCTATATCCCAAATAGGAAGATAAGGGTCCGAATAGGTGCTGAATGCTTAGAACTTCCCCCTTCCCCTCAGGGCTCCAGGCTGACCTTTACTGTCCAGGCAGAAGACTGGAAAACTTCTTCCTGGGGAATCTGGCCAGAGAGAGAGAGAGAGAGAGAGAGAGAGAGAAAGACACTGAAGAGACTGACTCAGGGGATCCCCAGCACACAGCCTCTCCTACCTCACCCTACATTGAGCACAGGGTCAACCAGGTCCACCACAGTCTTAGAAATTCTGTTCTCACTCATAGTCAGAAGGTTGGAACCAAAGCTTCTCTGACATTTGGGTCCAGTTTCTTTTTCTTTCTTTTTGAGATGGAGTTTTGCTCTTGTTGCCCAGGCTGGAGTGTATTGGCACCGTTGCAGCCCACTGCAACCCCCGCCTCCCAGGTTCAAACAATTCTTCTGCCTCAGCCTCCCGAGTAGGGGGAATTACAGGTGCGCACCACCAAACCCGGCTAATTTTTTGTATTTTTAGTAGAGGTGGGGTTTCACCATGTTGACCAGGCTGGTCTTGAACTCCTGAACTCAGGTGATTCACCTGCCTTGGCCTCCCAAAGTGCTGAGATTACAGGCGTGAGCCATCGCGCCCGGCCCTGAGGTCCAGTTTCTCATATATGAGTCAAGGTCCAAACCAGCAGACGCAGGAAGCTTGGAAGAAACAGAAACTACGCTGGAGAAGAGAAGCTTAAAAAGCTCTCATTAATATCCTCGTTGAGGTCAGACAGGATGTTGCACTCATAGGAAGAGGATGCTATAACAAAGGGAACATTTGCAGGCCAAAAACAAGTTCGTAGACATCAAAAACATGATAGCAGAAATGAAGAACTCCACTGAATGTTTAGAAGATGAGGCTGAGAAAATCAACCAGTGAGTAGAAGAAGAGAGCGAATAGGGGAGGGGAAAAATACATAAACCAGTAGGCCAGTATAGGAATTTCAACATCCAAATATAGGACTTCGGGAAAAAATAGAGAAAAAAAAGAGGTAAGGACATCAGCAAGGAAGTATTTGTTTCTTTTCGTTGTTGTTGTTTTTTGAGATGGAGTCTTGCTCTATTGCCCAGGCTGGAGTGCAGTGGTGCAATCTTGGCTCACTACAACATCCGCCTCCTGGGTTCAAGTGATTTTCCTGCTTCAGCCTCCCGAGTAGCTGGGATTACAGACACAGACCACCATGCCCGGCTAATGTTTGTATTTTCAGTAGAGATGGGGTTTCACCATGTTGGCCAAGCTGGTCTCTAACTCCTGACCTTAAGTGATCTTCCCACTTCAGCCTCCAAAAGTAGGGATCACAGGCGTGAGCCACCATGTTCCTCCCATCAGAGAAGTATTTGAAGACAAATTCCCAGGATGGGAGTTTCCAGATTGAGAGGGCCTGAGAGATGTGCAGCCTCATTGGTGGAAGCAGACACACACCTGAGCCCATCACTGTGAAATCGTAGAGTTCTGGGGACCGAGGGACGTTCCTATAAGCATCTGGATATGAAAAAACAGGTCACCTACAAAGAATCAGGGATCAGAATTACTCTCGTTCTAGCAGCCTCTAGAAGCCACAACACAATGGCACAAGGCTTCTAAAACTCTGAAGAAGGTTTTCCTGCCTGGAATTTCTTTTTCTTTGGGATGGAGTCTCGCTCTGTCGCCCAGGCTGGAGTCCAGTGGCGTGATCTCAGCCCACTGCAACCTCCATGCCACGGGTTCAAGCGATTCTTCTGCCTCAGTCTCCCAAGTAGCTAGAATTACAGGTGCACGCCACCATGCCTGGCTAACTTTTGTATTTTTCGTAGAGATGAGGTTCACCATTTTGGCCGGGCTGGTCTCAAACTCCTGACCTCAAGTGATCTACCCACCTCAGCCTCCCAAAGTGCTAGGATTACAGGCATGAGCCACCACGCCTGACCCTCCCTAGCATTTCGTACACAGCCAAGCAGTAAGGCTGAATGTGAGGGCAGGAGAAAGGCTGAAGTGCAATGGTGTAATCCTAGCTCACTGCAGCCTTGACCTCCTGGGCTCAAGCAATCCTCCTACCTTAGCCTCCTGAGTAGCTAGGACTACAGGCAGGTGCCAGGCAATATGCCTGGCTAATTTAAATTTTTTTTTTTTTTTTTTTTGAGATGGAGTCTGACCCTGTTGCCCAGTCTGGAGTGCGGCGGCGCAGTCGCGGCTCACAGCAACCTCCGCCTCCCGGGTTCAAGCAATTCTCCCTCCTTGGCTTTCCAAAGTGCTGGGATTACAGGTGTGAGCCACCATGCCTGGCCCTGAATAGCCTTTCTTAGAAAGCTACTTGAGGATGTCTTCCACTGAAACCAGAGGGTAAACCAAGGAAGAGCAACACACAGGAGACAGGAAACAGGGGATTCAACATAGACTCAAGGGAATCTCCAGGGTGATGGTGATGAGGAAGCCCAGTCAGGAACAGGGCAGGGTAATTGAGGGCATCTTGTCATGCACCCTGCCATTTTACCATCTTGTTAAGTGGATGAAACTACTGGAGGATATGCCCCAGTGAAACAAGGGAGTCTACCAAGAAAGAGAGCCACCCAATCTCCCAACTTAGGAATCCAACCCCAAGGAAAGGCAAAGGGAATTCTAGGGATGTCAGCAAAGGGAAGCCCCAAAGCGATGATGGTGTAGGGGCCTAGAGGACAGCCAGTACCTTTGGAAGGAGAACAGAGGCCTCCAGGAGAGATGTCACCAGTGGAAAAAAAAAACAGAACTGATCAATTATTTATTATTATTATTATTTTTAATGAGATGGGGTCTTGCTATGTTGCCCAGGCTGGTCTTGAATTCCTGGGCTCAAGCAGTCCTCCTGGCTTGGCCTCCCAAAGTGCTGGGATTACAGGTATGAGCCACCTCATGTGGCCTGATCAATTATCTTATGTGTACTGGGAATCTATTAGGAGGAGTGGGGTGATTTAGCAACAGGTGCAAGGAACACTAAGTAAAGGAAAAAAATCATTAACTCCAGGAAAAGGCAAAAAGGAACTAAAATCTGGTACACTGCAGCTCTCGTATGTGAATAATGATCACAAACTTCATATGTGAATAATGATCACAAACTAGTAAAACATTGAGTACCCGGTTTGCCAAATTACAGTGGACTTCTATGGTATTGACCAGCTGGTGGAGGGGAGCTGATGGGGTGGCCTTGTGAGAGAACTAAATTCACATCTCTCAGGATGGGAAGGCCATAGATGCTGTCTGACATGGATGACTCACAAGATTGTATACACATGTTGTTTAGGACTATGGAGATGTGTAATTGCTAGAAAAAATCAGCATCAATTTCCTCTGGTGTGGAGGGACAAGGCAGGAAACCTGTTTTGTTGTTAAACATTTAAAAAATTGTTTTCAGTTTTCTAAAGAAATTTTGTGGGCTGGACATTGTTGCTCATGCCTTATAATCCCAGTGTTTTGGAAGGCCGAGGTGGGAGGATTGCTTGAAGCCAGGATTTCAAGACCAGCCTGGGCAACAAAGTGAGACCCCTGTCTCTACAAAAAATAAAATTAAAAAACTTCTGAAATACAAATGTAGAAAAGTATATGAAATATATTAATACTGTGTAACAAGTCTGAACGATTAGAATGTGTGGACTTCTTCCCTGATCATAAAACTCTCACCCTTGTTAGAAGTTTCTTAGTAGTATTTGGGTTCCTAAATGATGGGCATGTAAAGTCAAAATTAACTTAGGATTTAAAATCTAAACATCCACCTTGGGACAGGTAGAAGAAACTGCTGCCTCTAGTTCATGTGCTGGCCTTAGCTGGCCTCTTACGGTGCTTTCAGTTGGGTACAGTGGTTCATGCCTATAATCCCAATGCTTTGAAAGGCTTTGATGTCACTTGACTTCAGGAGTTTGGACCAGCCTGGGCAACACAGTGAAACCCCATCTCTACAAAAATGTTTAAAAATTGGCTAGGTGGCCAGGCGCGGTGGCTCAAACCTGTAGTCCCAGCACTTAGGGAGGCCGAGACGGGCGGATCACAAGGTCAGGAGATCGAAACCACCCTGGCTAACACGGTGAAACCCCGTCTCTACTAAAAAATACAAAAAAGTGGCCGGGCGAGGTGGCGGGCGCCTGTAGTCCCAGCTACTGGGAGGCTGAGGCAGGAGAATGGCGTAAACCCAGGAGGCGGAGCTTGCAGTGAGCTGAGATCCGGCCAGTGCACTCCAGCCTGGGTGACAGAGCGAGACTCCGTCTCAAAAAAAAAAAAAAAAATTGACTGGGCTTGGTGGTGCACCTCTGTGATCCCTGCTACCCAAGGAGGTCGAGGCTGCAGTGAGCCACGATTACACCACTGCATACCAGCCTGGGTGACAGAATGAGATCCTGTCTCAAAAAAAAAAAAAAAAAAAGAAGGTGCTTCCTGCCCTTGAGCCTCCTTGTAAATTGCTTCAGGGGCTCTGGAGAGCAAGTGCAAAGCAGAGGGGCTCTGGTGCACTTCGGCTTCTCTGCTCCACTGGCTTTATAGGTGCTGAGCTCTGAGTCCCGGGCTTCTTCCGTCATGCACGTCTGCCCCTCATTCTTACTCTGCAGGCCGAGCATGTCGGGACTCCACCTGGTGAAGAGGGGACGGGAACACAAGAAGCTGGACCTGCACAGAGACTTTACAGTGGCTTCTCCCGCTGAGTTTGTCACACGCTTTGGCGGGGATCGGGTCATCGAGAAGGTACAGACGGGTCTCGGCACTCTGGGTAGGGTCCGGTTGGGGTGCAGGGGCCCCTCCTCTCAGCTGGAGGTGGGAGATTCAGGTTCAGGCTCAATCTGAATCAATCTGAATCTCTGCCTGCTGCAGAGAGGGGGTGGGGGGGTGAGGGCCACACTCTTGTGACACCCAGTGCTGGGTGCTTGACTTCATGAGCTTTTCACCCTCGCAACAGCCCAATGCAACAGGTGCATCGCTCCCATTCACAGATGGGGAGACTGAGACCTCTGGGCGTGGTCAGGAAGCTCCTGCAAAGGACTCTGGGTGCTTTTGGGAATGGGGCCGCTTTCTAGGTTACTGAATGGGAAGCGTAAGTCCAGCTGTGCATTCCTGAGGTTCGTAGCTTCTTCAAGGAGAGGAGACCGACTTACTAGAATGGCAGTAAGGAAAGGGAAGTAGCTGAGATTTGCCAGTTCTGAAGGCTTTTCACATTGTCTCCTATACCATCTGCACAAGGCCCTGGGTCATCCATACTGTTTGATGATCGCCATTGTATTCGTGGAGAAACTAGTATTCAGAGATTTGATGTTGGTTGTCCAAGATTAGGTAATTAGTAGGAGGTGGAGCTGGGATTTGAACCCAGGCCAGTTTGGCTCTACGACCTTGTTCTTTTCCATTTTACTGGAGAGCAGGGTCACAATAATAATACCAATCTCAGTGACAGCTGCCATCGATTGAGGGCCTGTGCTGGGGTAGGCATCCTGTCCCCTGCTTTACATCATTGCATCTTATTTAGCCATTCCCTCAGCCTGGTCAGTGGGTATTGTTTTACAGATGAGGAAACCGAGGCTTAGAGAGGGGAGATTGCTTGCCCAGTGTCAGAGCTGGGCTCCAGAGCTCACACCCTCAACCCAGCACACTAAGTGCAGTATTGAGTGGTAGAGACTCATGCAGGATGCAGGTTCCAAAACCTGGCTGCCACTGGTCGTTTTTTGTTTTATTTTTTTAAGTTTTCATTTTTGTAGAGATAGGGTCGCACTCTGTTGCCCAGGCTGAAGTGCAGTGGCACAATCATAGTTTGCTACAGCCTCAACCTCCTGGGCTCAAGTGATCATCCTGCCTCAACCTCCTGAGCAGCTGGGATTATAGGTGTGCACCACTATGCCTGGCTAGTTTTGTTTTTTATTTTTCTAGAGATAGGGGTCTCATTATGTTGCCCAGGCTGGTCTTGCACTCCTGAGCTCAAGTGATCTTCCTTCTTTGGCCTCCTAAAGTCTTGGGATTACAAGCATAGCCACCGTGCCACGCCTGGCCTTTGCCAACAGTCTTGATGGTTGAAAATACAGATTCTTCCACCCTGCTCCAGACCCTTGGATTTAAACTCTCCTGGGCGGAGATCCAGAAGCTGCATTTTTGTCACACTCGCCAGGAGACTGTTTTGCACTCAGCACAGTTGGTGGCTAGTGTGGAATTCTCAGGAGCCCAGAGAGGCTCGGGCGGCCACAGAAGGGCTCAGCCCAGAGCTGTTGTACTTTCTGGCTTAGGAGTTGACCTTGGCTTGCCTTCTGTTGTACACTCCTTGTGGGAAAGCTGCTGCTGTGGGGATTAGAGCCGCAAGCTGGCCCGCAGCAGCCTCTCCCCCATGGGGCTCCCACATTTGTTGCACTAGAACGTATAGGGCCAAGGGAAACTAATTCTGGGATCATCAAAGTCCTTCCCTCTTGACCAAGCCTTGCTTTGATAATCGACTGAGAAAGCCAGAGCCCAGCCATTTCATCATGTCTTCCCAAGAGGCATTTTTTGACAGGGTAGAAGAACATTTCACCTGAACCAGAAACCCTGAGGTCAAATTTTAGTGCCACCACTCATGGGCTGTGAGATCTGAGTTCAGTTTCCCCTTCTGTAAAACAGAGGTGATCACATCCCAATTCTCTAATGAGACTTACCCTTCAGGAATGTCTTGAAGATTAGGCAGCAATGAAGGAGGCCTTAAAATGATGAAATTGCTATGTAAGTCAAGCTTTGAAGGCATATGCCTAATTTTCTTTTTTTTAAACAAGAAAACTAGGGGCTGGACATGGTGGCTCACATCTGTAATTCCAGCACTTTGTGGGGGCAAGGCAGGAGGATTGATTGAGCCCAAGAGTTTGAGACAAGCCTGGGCAACATAGCAAGACCCCATCTCTACAAAAAATAAAAAAATTAGCTGAGTGTGCTGGTGCATGCCTTTAGTCCCAGCTACTCAGGAGGCTGAGGCAAGATGAACTTGAGGGGTTGAGGCTGCATTGAACTATGATTGCACTACAGCCTGGATGACAGAGACTGTGTTAGTTTGCTCTCACACTGCTAATAAAGACATACCCGAGACTGGTAATTTATAAAGGAAAGAGATTTAATTGACTCACAGTTCTGCATGGCTGGGGTGGCCTCAGGAAACTTACAATCATGGTGGAAGGAGAAGCAAACACATCCTTCTTCACAAGGTGGCAGCGAGGAGCAGTGCCGAGCAAGAGGGAAAGCCCCTTATAAAACCATCAGATCTCGTGAGAACTCACTCACTATCAGGGGAGCAGCAGCATGGGAGTAACCACCCCCATGATTCAATTACCCCCCACCGAGTCCCTCCCATGACACGTGGGGATTGTGGGAACTACAAGATGAGATTTGGGTGGGGACACAGCCAAGGCATATCAGAGACCCTGTCTCAAAAAAACAAAACAAAAGGAAACAACAAAAACCTAGAACTTTGGCTTTATTTTTTAGAGACATGGCCAGTTGTACCTCTTCATGTGGACATAAAGCTCAGAGAGGGAAGGGATGTTCTCAAGGCCACACAGCAAGTTCATGACGCAACTGGGAATTGAAACCAGGACTCTTTCTGTTGCTCTCTGCGGTTGGGGACAACCAGCATTGACCACTGTTCCTCCTTACCACATCTAAGACCTTTAGCCTTTAGGATGCACAGACAGCCATGAGGGCAGTTCAGAGAACAGGTCAGACTGTGGAAAGTTCAAGTCCTCACTCTGCTGTGTGACCTGGGGCGGGTGCATTAGCTCCTCTGAGTTTTAATAGTTTAACCCCCAAATAGAAATAATAGTGAAAGCTCTTTCAAAGGGCTGATGTGAGGATGAAATGAAATAAGGCAGGTAAAACACATTGTACTGTAAAACATCAAAAAGTGTTAAGGGTGATCACGATTACACCAAAGGAATAAAAAAATCATTCACTGGGCCTGGCACAGTGGCTCATGCCTGTAATCCCAGAACTTTGGGTGGATGAGGTGGGCACATCATTTGAGCCCAGCCTGGGTTTGTGTTCAAGTTCAGGACCAGCCTGGGCAACATGACAAAATCCTGGCTTTGCAAAAACATTAAAAAAATGAGCAGGATGTGGTGGTGTACACTTGTAGTCCCAGCTACTCAGGAGGCTGAGGTGGGAGGATCACTTGAACCTGGAAGGTTGAAGTTGCAGTAAGCTGTGATTGCACCACTACACTCCAGCCTGGGTGACAGAGCAAGACTCTGTCTCAAAAAAAATAAATATATAAAATAAAAAATATATATCTATGTATTTCATCCAAACACCCATCCATTCATCTATCCATCCATCCATCCATCCATTCATCCATCTATTTGATGATCCATTCATGTGGCTGGCAGAATTTGAGCTCCTGCTCTGTGCTGGGATGTGTGCCATGGAAATGCATAGAAATACCAAGAGGAATGCTGTGTCGCAGGGGCTGCAGGAGGCTCTGCAGCTGTGAGGTGGACTCGGGGTAGCATGTGGCCCCCAGCACAGGTAGATGTGCATCTTCAGCTCCTTCCTTGTCTTCCCGTGCAGGTGCTTATTGCCAACAACGGGATCGCCGCCGTGAAGTGCATGCGCTCCATCCGCAGGTGGGCCTATGAGATGTTCCGCAACGAGCGGGCCATCCGGTTTGTTGTGATGGTGACCCCTGAGGACCTTAAGGCCAACGCAGGTACCTGGGCCTTGACCCTCTCCTCCCGCCACGCCCCATCCTTGCCTGCCCTCGCCTCCTTCCCCTGTGCCTAGGCAAGTCCATCCTGGACTCCAGATGGTCAGACCTCTCATGAGTCTGTATTTATTTGTCCTTCCTTCTTTATTTAATTAAAATGTCTGCTGACATCAAGAATGACTGTGCCTTACAAAAATGCAAATGGTTAACATGCAGAGGAAATTGGATCTTTGAGAAATGTTGTGTTCTAGCAGATTGGGGGCTGTTTCTCCTGGTGTTTTCCTGCAGGTGTTGTATTCTAGCAGACTGAGGGCTGTTGCTCCTGGTGTTTTCCTGAAGGAGGATGTAATTGTATTTCAATTACTTGTTCATTCTTCCTTTCATTTGCCTGAGTTTTTTTATGATGAATCATTCTATAAACAACTGTTGGATGATTTACTTTTTTCCTGAACAGTCTTATCCTTTTATAGGCCCTACTCCCCACAGCAGCCAAAGTGACCTTTTAGAAACATAACTTATTCTGCTGTGTTTTCTGAAGGTTGTTAAAAACAAAAACCTTGGCCAGAGTGGTGGCTCGTGCCTGTAATCCCAGCACTTTGGGAGGCTGAGGCGGGAGGATTGCTTGAGCCCTTGAGTTTGAGAGCAGCCCGGGCAACATAAGACCCTGTCTCTACAAAAAATAAAAATAAAAAAATAACTGGGTACAGTGGCATGCACCTGTAGTCTCAGCTACCCAGGAAGCTGAGGTGGGAGGATCGCTTCAGCCCAGGGGGTCTAGGCTATAGTGAGCTGTGATTACACCACTGCATTCCAGCCTGGGAAACAGACTGAGACTCTGTCTCAAATAAAACAACATAAACCTAAAAGCATAACTCAGATCCGAGCACAGTGACTCACGCCTATAATCCCAGCGCTTTGGGAGGCCAAGATGGGCGAATCACTTGAGGCCAGGAATTTTGAGACCAGCCTGCCCATTTCTACTAAAAATACCTCCCAAAAATTAGCCGGGCATGGTGGCAGGTACCTGTAGTCCCAGCTATTCAGGAGGCTGAGGCAGGAGAATTGCTTGAACCCAGGAGGCGGAGGTTGCGGTGGGCTGAGATCACCCCACTGCACTTGAGCCTGGGTGACAGAGCAAGACTGTCTCAAAAAAAAAAAAAGCAAAACAAAAACCAACATAAGTCAGGTCTTCAGGTCTTTTCGTGCTTCTTCTTAAAATGTGTCAGAGGCTGTATGCTCTTCCCAGTAGTAGCAACCTCAGCACCATCCCCTAAGCCTTCCTGCCCCAAGCTCTGCACAGACATGGCCTCATTTGTTACTTACAGCTCTGTTTTACAGATGGCACAGTTGAGGCACAGGGACGTGAATTTATCACTTGTCCAGGGTCACACAACCGTCATGTGATGCAGGTGGGATGGGAACCCTGGTCTGAGCTCAGAGCATTATCCAGTGGGTCCTCCCGTCTTGGTTAGTCTAAAATTCAAGATTCTCACCGAGGCCCGTAAGTCCCCTCCTGACTCCATCTCGAACCTCTCACCCTCCATCAGCCGGGTACCAGTCACGCTGGCCTCTGGCGGCTCCTGGGCCTGTTGCAGAGTCTTGGTACCTGCTGGATCCTCTATTGAAGGTGCTTCTCCCAGAGCCCTTTGTGCAGTGGACTCCCTCCCCACCCAGTCTGTAGGTCTCAACATGATCCTTGCATCTTTCTCAGAGAACCTCATTTATGCATCTCTCTCAGAGAACCTCATTTATTTTCTTCCCAGCACTGACCTGAGTCTGTAGTTATTGTGTTTATTTTCTCGTTTATCTTCTCCAACATAAAAGAAAAACTGGATGAGGACCAGGTAGCGTGTCTGGCCGCTCCCTTTGTCATCTCTGGAATCTCCCCATTGGCCAACATTTCTGTATTTGATAAATGTAGGAGGGAGGCAGGCAGGCGGGAAGGAGCAGCTCTGGGGTTTCTTTCTGTGTTTGCATATAAAGTGCCACAATCTTCAATTTCAGGATCGTAGCAAATTTCATAGTATAGATGTCCCAACCCCTGTGTTTGGATTGAGTCTAACTTTTCCTAGTCTGAAACACTGCTCAGTGGCTGTCGTCTGACTTTGGCCTCATTGATGTGTGGGTTTTTGTTTGTCTGTTGTTTTTTTTTTGAGATAGAGTCTTGCTCTGTTGCCCAGGCTGGAGTACAGTGGTGCGATCTTGGCTCACTGCAGCCTCCACCTCCCGGGTTCAAGCAATTCTCGTGCCTCAGCCTCCCAAGTAGCTGGGAGGCGTGCACCACCATGACCGGCTAATTTTTGTATTTTTAGTGGAGACAGAGTTTCACCATGTTGGCCAGGCTAGTCTTGAACTCCTGACTTCTGGTGATCTGCCCGCCTCAGCCTTCTAAAGTGCTGAGATTACAGGTGTCAGCCATTGCGCCCAGCCAACATGTGGGTTTTTTAAGGACATATTCTTAGATGTGGAATTTCTGGCTTAAAGAGCGTGAGTATTTTAAAATCAAAATATTGCATTATGTTCAGCCTTAAAAAGGAAGGAAATCCCGTCATGTGTTACAACATGGATTAACCTTGAGGACATTGTGCTGGTCCCAAAAAGTGAAATAAGCCAGTCACAAAAAGACAAATACTGCATGATTCCATGTATAAGGGGTAACTAGAGTAGTGCAATTCATAGAGAGAGCGAGAGAGAGTGTATATCGTTGGTTGCCAAGGACTTCAGGGAGGGAGAAAAAGGGAGTTGTTGATGAGTATAGAGTTTCAGATTCATAAAATGAAAAAGTTCTGGACATCTGTTTCATGATATAAATATATTTCACTATTGAACTGTACACTCAAAAATGGTTAAGATAGTAAATTTTACGGTGGTTTTTTTTTTTTTTTTACCATAATTTAAAACTCTGATTGTATTTTTGTTTGTTTGTTTGTTTGGGTTTTTTTTTTTGAGACAGGACCTTGCTCTGTCGCCCAGGCTGGAGTGCAGTGACATGATCACAGCTCACTGTAGCCTCGACCTTTGAGGCTCAAGTGATCCTCCTGCCTCAGCCTCCCAAGTAGCCGGGACTATAGGCATGCACCACCATTCCTGGCTACTTTTTTTTTTTTTTTGTAGAGACAAGGTCTCCCTTTATTGCCCAAACTGACCTTGCATTCCTGGCCTCAAACAGTCCTCCTACCTCGGCCTCCCAAAGTGCTGGGATGACAGGTGTGCACCACCGCACCCAGCCCTATTGTATTATTTAATGGTAAAACAATATTAAGATAAACTTTAAATAGGAAATATTTTTAAAAACCTACCTCTAATCCCACTCTGTTGACAGATTACTTCCTTTGTCCTTCGTTCCCTTCCAGGCCTTCCAGGCCTTGTCCAGGGACACATCTGTTTCACGTAATTAAAATCATATTTCATTTTCTTTAAATTTTCTTCCTTTTTTTTTTTTTTTTTTTAAATGAGACAGAGTCTTGTTCCATCACCCAGACTGGAGTGCAGTGGCATGATCTCAGCTCACTGCAACCTCCACCTCCTGGGTTCAAGCAATTCGCCCACCTCAGCCTCCCGAGTACTTTGGATTACAGGTGCCTACCACCATGCCCAGCTAATTTTTGTATTTTTAGTAGAGACAAGATTTCACCATGTTGACCAGGCTGGTTTCGAACTTCTGGGCTCCGGCGATCTGCCTGCCTCAGCCTCCTAAAGTGCGGGATTATAGGCATGAGCCACCATGCCCAGCCTTCTCTTTACATTTTCATACATGTTTGTCCGTTGTTGCCATAGAAGTGTGCATGGTTCTGCTTTCCATGGCTGTACACAGTCATATCTTGTAATGTTCTGCCATTGACATCCGTCTGTCAGCAGTTCCTTTCTTCTTGCTCCCATTTAATTTCAGAGTACATCAAGATGGCGGATCAGTACGTCCCTGTCCCAGGAGGGCCTAATAACAACAACTATGCCAACGTGGAGCTGATTGTGGACATTGCCAAGAGAATCCCTGTGCAGGTAGACGGACCAGGGTGCCTGAGTGTGGTCTCTGAGTGTGGGATGATGCCCCTTGGTTCTAGTTCAATTCCACAGTTCACAAGGGGCAGTGGGTCCGGGTCCCACAAGGCTCCAAATTCCTGGGCTGACATAACAGAAAAGAGTGTTCAAGTGATGCGAAGCACATTCTTTTTTAAAAAAAATTTTACAGACAGGATCTCGCCATGTTGGCCAGGCTGGTCTTGAACTCCTGGGCTCAAATGATCCTCCTGCCTCGGCCTCCCAAAGTGCTGGGGTTACAGGTGTGAGTTACTGTGCCTGGCTGGGAGGCATATTCTTGAAGGAAGATTGTTGCTCACCCCTTTCTGTGTTGCAGGCGGTGTGGGCTGGCTGGGGCCATGCTTCTGAAAACCCTAAACTTCCGGAGCTGCTGTGCAAGAATGGAGTTGCTTTCTTAGGTAGAGTGTATCCCCATCAGATACATGGGAATTGGGGCGTTGCTGGGACATTCTGCTGGGTCTGGCCCTCTTTCTACTCCTGTCCTGTAAAGCAGAGGTCCCTTTGATTTCCCACCTCACACTTTCATTGTGAGGAGTGAGTGAGTCCCAGGGCGGAAGGGCACACAGCTAATCTGCCAAGTCATGGAATTAGGAACTGCCTGCTTTTCAAAGGAAGACACACAGGCAGCCAACAAGCATATGAAAAAAAGCTCAACATCACTGATCATTAGAGAAAGGCAAATCAAAACCACAGTGAGATACCATTTCTTGGCAGATTCTGATGAGATTGTGGAGAAAAGGGAACGCTTATGCACTGTTGGTGGGAGTGTAAACTAGTTCAGCCATTGTGGAAAGCGTATGGCAATTCCTCAAAGAGCCAAAAATAGAACTACCATTTAACCCAGCAATCCTGTTACTGGGTATATACCCAGAGGAATATAAAATCATTCGACCATAAAGACACATGAACACGAATGTTTATTGCAGCACTATTCACAATAGCAAAGGCATGGAATCAACCTAAATGCCCATCAATGACAGATTGGATAAAGCAAATGTGGTACATATATACCATGGAATACTACACAGCCATCAAAATGATATACTGAGATTATGTCTTTTGCGGGAACATGGATGGAGCTGGAGGCTGTTATCCTTAGCAAACTAACAGAAGAACAGAAAACCAAATATTACGTGTTCTCATTTATAAGTGGGAGCTAAATGATGAGAATACATGGACACAAAGAGGGGAACAGCAGACGCTACTTGAGGGTGAAAGGCTGGAGGAGGGAGAAAAGCAGAAAAATAACTGTTGGGTACTAGGCTTAGTACCTGGGTGATGAAATAATCTGTACCACAAACCCCTGTGACATGAGTGTATGTGTGTAACAAATTTGCACATGTAATTATATCCATGTCCTTGTGTAGTTTAGGGGAATCATTTACTATAATGTAATACATCCCTGCTTCTCCTTACCTGTGGGTCTGAAAACAGTCTTGCCCAAATGTGAAGCAGCTCAGTGCGGATCAATACCTGATATTCACCTGAGGCGCAGCCGGGAGTCCCATGCCCATTGACGTTTTCTTTGTCTGTGGGCTCTGAGTACATATGGGCATCTGTCTTGTCTGACAGTCACCCAGGACTCTTATTATCAGTCTTAATTCCTCTGGAGGTTGATGATCCAGCCCACTGGACAAATCCAGCCCATGGCTTGCCTTTGTAAATAAAGTTTTATTAAAACATGGTCGTGCTCATTCATTTATGTATTGCCTATGGCTGCTTTCACCCTACACTGGCAAAGTTGAGTCATTGTGACAGAGACCTGCAGGCTCACAAAACTGAAAGTATTTCCCATCTGGCTCTTTATAGAAAGAGTTTGCTAACCTATAGTCCGGCTCTTTGAGCTCCTAGCTTACCTCTTTGATCTAGCTTTCTGCCTCCCCGCCAAAGTGTATTTTGTGTATGCCACTGTAGCCTAGGTTGTAACTCACAACAGGTTTACAATCCACATGTGTTGAAAGTTGACTGATGCAACAGCAGACTAACAGATTTTTTCCTTCCCTAACGTGAGGTTAAGCTCCTTGAGAGCTGGAACCAGAGAATTTTCTCTGTCATCTTCTCCTCACCTGGCCCCACCACCATGCACTCGGTCGGCACTCAGCCTCGAGGGTCTTGTGACTGACCAGATTCTGCTTCCCTTCTTGTCCCCAACTCCTCAGGCCCTCCCAGTGAGGCCATGTGGGCCTTAGGAGATAAGATCGCCTCCACCATTGTCGCCCAGACGCTGCAGGTCCCAACCCTGCCCTGGAGTGGAAGCGGTAAGGGACCCCGAGCTTCCCTCTAGGGGAGCTTCTCAGCCCAGTCTTGGTAATGTGAACAATCAGGGTGACGGAAGTATGCTTGTAACAATTCTTTCTGTTACAAATGTTACTTTTAGTTTTTAGTCACTAGCAAAATATTTTAAAATTTTAAGTTAGTGAACAAGTGGTACAATTTATTGTAGGCAATTTAGAAAATACAAGAGGTACAAAAAAGAAATGGAAATCATTCATAATCCTATGACCCAGTGTTGAACATGTATTACACTGTGAGTGTCTTACCTTTCCAACATTTTTCTTGGCATATTATTTAAAAAAAAAAAAAAGACAAATCTTGGCCAGTGGCTCACATCTGTAATCCCAGTGCTTTAAGAGGCTGAGGGAGAAGGATCACTTGAAGCCAGGAGTTCAAGACCAGCCTGGGCAACATAGCAAGACCCCATCTCTAGACAAAAAAAAAAAAAATTACCTGATTGTGGTGGGGCATGCCTGTAGTCCCAACTACTCAGGAGGCTGAGGCAGGAGGATGGCTTGAGCCTAGGAGGTTGAGGTTACAATGAACTATGATGGTACCACTGCACTCCAGCCTGGGTGATGAGACCCTGTCTTTAAAAGGAAACAACAACCCATCTTACATTTCCTAGTTTGTGACTTTTTTTTCCCCACTAATGATTATCTTTCTATGTAAAAAATATACTTTATACCATTTAAGATGCCTGCATAGGATTATTATGTCTTATGGATGTATCATAATTGACTTAATAGTCCTCATAGTTAAATAATTTAGATTGTTTCCAATTTATTTTTTCTAATTTAAAAAATAAAGGAATGGAGCTTTGATAATCTTACAGCTAAATTTATGTGTGCATTTTAATAATTTTCTTAGGATAAATTCCTAACAGTGGAATTTCTAGGACAAATTAAAAAGTAAGACAGTCTCAGAAGTTTCCTATTAAATTTGATTTTTTTTTTCCCCTAAAAGTTGAATTTTAAATTTGGGATGGAAAATTTACTTTCATTTGTTAAATCTTTGCATGGTTTTGGGAAATAATTATTCACATATAAATGATTCCATAAGGTAGAATTGGGATTTTTTTTTGGATTTAGATTAATATGGCTGTTGTTGGTAGGCTCAGTCTGAGTGTCTTTCCTTTTTTGTTGTTTTGTTTTTGAGACAGGGTCTCACTCTGTCACCCAGGCTAGACTGTAGTGGCATGATCATGGCTCACTGCAGTCTTGACCTCCTGGGCTCAACTGATCCTCCTGCATCAGCCTCTCCAGTAGCTGGGGCTACAGGCCCATGCCACCATGCCTGGCTAATTATAAACATTTTTTTGTAAAGACAAGGTCTCACTATGTTGCCAGGGTTGGTCTTAAACTCCCGGGTTCAAGCGATCCCCCCACCTCAGCCTCCCAAAGTGCTGGGATTATAGGCATGAGCCACCGCGCCTGGCAGTTAGTTTCTTAAGCTTGATTTCTCATTCAAGGTTGGGTTAGTTCTTGAGGAAATGAAAAGCCATTGTGAGAAGCTGAAGGGAGTGTCTGTATTCCACTGGTCCAGAAGCCCAGGTCTAGCACTACGTCAGGAGGGAGAGGCCCTGTGGTTTCTGGGTTGTATGTGTTTCTCCTGGATTTGGGAGGAATCAGCTTTCTTTGTGACTCTCCAGGCCTGACAGTGGAGTGGACAGAAGATGATCTGCAGCAGGGAAAAATAATCAGTGTCCCAGAAGATGTTTATGACCAGGGTTGTGTGAAAGACGTAGATGAGGGCTTGGAGGTAAATGCAGAGCCTGCGGGGGCCAGGGGGGCCGGAACCGAACTGCCTCTGTCCTGGTAGCGGTTGGCAACTGGCTAACCTCTAAAGAGGTCTGTTTGTCCCTTTGCATCCAGGCAGCAGAAAAAATTGGTTTTCCATTGATGATCAAAGCTTCTGAAGGTGGCGGAGGGAAGGGAATCCGGAAGGCTGAGAGTGCGGAGGACTTCCCGATCCTTTTCAGACAAGTGAGCAGTTCTTGCTGTGTCTTTTCGCATCTGTCTTTGGGAATTGTTTGTGGGCTGCCAGATTATTTCTCTTAGCATTATTCTGTGACTGTCAAAAAGACATTTGTAGGAGCTGGATGTATTGTTGTATCGTATTTTGCAGCAAATGCGTACATTTTTACTCAGAAAAGCCCATGGTTTTGTGTTGATCTTGACAGCATCTTTTAGGTAGTTCAAGTCTATAAATCAGGGTATCTAGAAATGATTTCAGAGATACAGGATCAAAATAGCTGTTGGTGACAATGTTGGCCTATAGAGGAATGGCATATTTTATAAATTTTAGTACTCTTAGTATTTCTAATGTTTGTAGATGATCTATTTTATTTTATTTTTGAGACAGAGTCTCACTCTGTCATCTAGGCTGGAGTGCAGTGACACGATCTCAGCTCACTGCAACCTCGGCCTCCCAGGTGCAAGTGATTCTAGTGCCTCAGCCTCCCGAGTAGCTGGGATTACAGGCGTGTGCCACTTCACCCAGCTCATTTTTGTCTTTTTAGTAGAGACAGAGTTTCACTATGTTGGCTGGACTGGTCTCAAACTCTTGGCCTTGAGTGATCCGCCCACCTTGGCCTCCCAAAGTGCTGGGATTACAGGTGTGATCCACTGCGCCCTGCCTGATCAATTTTAACTGTAGGAACAAATGGCATATATACTTACTGGTAGCTAGTTTTCTTATTTTAAAACCTTATGTCTGTTATTAGCAATGTTTAGAAAACATTTATACTGACAATCTTCCCATTCTTAAAGCTAACTATTTTAATATTTCTAGGTTTTCTTCTAGACCTTCTTCATATGTATATTTTAAAGAACTGTATTCAGTCTACACAAAATTTTGTTCTGCATTTAAAATATTTCAAATCGTAGATCATGAATATTATTATGTTATTCCAGCCCTGGCAATTATTTTGATGATTACTCAATATTTTATGTGTGGCACTAGCCTTATTTATGAAACCTTTCCTTTTTTGTTAAATGTTTAGCTTATTTCCACTTTGTTATTATGAATAATAATACTATAGTATAATATGATATTTAGTACTATAAATAACACTTAGCTATTTTTTTTCCTCTTCTGAATTTTTTTCTTGGATAAAGACTTGGGGAGAAAGACTTAGTTAAATAGCATGCACTTTACATGCACTTCCATTTTTCTTTTTTTTTTTTTTTGAGACAGAGTCTCACTGTGTCACCCAGGCTAGAGTGTGGTGGCACGATCTCTGCTCACTGCAAACTCCGCCTCCCGGGTTCACGCCATTCTCCTGCCTCAGCCTCCCGAGTAGCTGGGACTACAGGCGCCCGCCACCACGCCCAGCTAATTTTTTGTATGTTTAGTAGAGACAGGGTTTCACCATGTTAGCCAGGATGGTCTCGATCTTCTGACCTTGTGGTCCGCCCGCCTTGGCCTCCCAAATGACTGGGATTACAGGCGTGAGCCACTGCACCCAGCCTTTACATGTGCTTTCAAACGCTTATCAGTACATTGCTTTCTAGGAGTTTTACTGATTATGCCACTCTTGGTATAATATGTGAGTGTTGTATAAAGCAGCAGTTTCACTACCACTGTATCTCTGTTGGAGTATACAGGTGTTTTGGGGATTTGGGTGGGGGGAAGAATTGATATTAAAAGGCAAGTTGAAGCAGCAGTACAAAAAATTCGTGTCTATCCTTCACCCAGTTTCACTCGTTAATATTTTTCATATAACTTTGCAACTAAGAGATTGACGTGGGCACTTTTCTGTTCAGTAAACTCCAGACTAGATTGAATTTCATCAGTTTTTGCACTAATGTCCCTTTCCTGTTGCAGGGTTCATTCCTGGATTCCATATTGCATTAGAGGTCATACAGATTTTAAAGCTTTTTTGCTTTTTAAAAATAGACTTTATTTATTAGAGCAGTTTTAGGGTCACAGCAAAATGGAGCAGAAAGAATAGAGAGTTCCCACATACCCCAGGCCCTCATATGCACACAGACCCCCAAGTTTTTTTATTTTACTTACATGAGTGCACTATGAATATGTTCGTCATGTAGAGAGTCAATCAAGTCAGCAATGTGTTAAGAATAAAAAAGGAAAAACCCTTTTCCCCCATCACCTTCCGACTTTCCTTTCTCAGATGTAACCACTGTTAGCAGCTGCCAGGGGGGTCTCCTTTCAGCACTGTCACTGTATATACTTTTACATAGACATTCATACAGTTGTTTTATTTTTATTTTTTGCGTGAGTTCATCCCATACATTATTGCAAATTACTTTTTTTAAACTTGTCTTAGAAATCATTGTGCGTGAATACTTTTCACATTGCCTTTAAGAATCTCTAGAAGACATGCCTATAAAACAATGCCTTTCAGCTCTTAACAGGATGAAGTAAGTTTGTCCTTAGATTCCAGCCAGGAGAGCTAGCTGAGAAAGTGCAGTAAGTGGAAGAAAAAGACAACCACAGATTAGTGTGTTTTGGTCCCATTTTCATTCAAAGAAACTTTCTCTGTATGTGTCGCTATATGCATAGAAGAAAGCCAGTTTGGACACCAAACTCTTAACAATATATTATCTTTAGGGGATGTGATTGTGGGGAGATTTTACCATTTCACAAAGTTTGACTTAAAAAGAGAATATGTTGCAGGTAGTGACTATCTGGGGCTGGTGGTGCAGATGATAAGGGAATTTGCCAAGACAATCGTAGGTAAAGAAAGGCAGATTTATTGGAGGAAGTATGAAAATATGTTGCAAGATTGCAACAGGCAGCACAGCCGAGAAGGGGCTGTCTGCAAAGAGGCAAGGGCTGGTGGGAGGTTTTATAGGGTGGTGCTGGAGGAGGGGCTATGAGGTTGTTATGTCCTGGGGTTGTTTGTGATTAGTCATCTCTTAAAGCAGTTTTCATTGTTCTTTCCCACCTGGGGCTGTCCGCCTCCTGGGGCCCCTTTCTCATTATTACTTACTGTGGAGTCAGGACTCCACAGAATATTATATCTTTGAGACAACAAAAGTAAAAGATCAGCAGAGTCCTGGATGAGTACCCTAAACACATCACTGCCTTTGTTTTATGTTCTCTCCTGAGAACTTCCAGAAGCTTCCAGAGCTGGTTTCCCCATGAAGATCAGGCTGCTCTGCTTCCCCCGACAGGTACAGAGTGAGATCCCAGGCTCGCCCATCTTTCTCATGAAGCTGGCCCAGCACGCCCGTCACCTGGAAGTTCAGATCCTCGCCGACCAGTATGGGAATGCTGTGTCTCTTTTTGGTCGCGACTGCTCCATCCAGCGGCGGCATCAGAAGATTGTTGAGGAAGCACCGGCCACCATCGCCCCGCTGGCCATATTCGAGTTCATGGAGCAGGTACACTTCTTAGAGCCCAGGGGTCAGCTTCAGAGAGAGCCATCTCAGCTCAGAGTCAGGAAGAACTTTCTACGGTCAGTGTGGCCGGATGGTGGCATGAGTGCCTAACAGGAGGGAGGAGGGCCCATTCCAGAGGTGATTTCAGCATCATACAGGTTTATTGGATTAGCCGGTCTGTGAACTCCCCAAATATTTCTTTTCTTTTTTGAGACAGAGTCTCACTGTGTTGCCCAGGCTGGAGTGCAGTGGTGCGATGATAGTTCACATCAGCCTGTAACTCCTGGGCTCAAGTGATCCTCCCACCTCAGCCTCCCGAGTAGCTGGGACTACAGGAATATGTCGCCATGTCTGGCTAATTTTAAAAAAATTGTTTTTTGTAGAGACAGAGTCTTGCTATGTTGCCCAGGCTGGCCTTGAACTCCTGGCCTCAAGTGATCCTCCCGTCTTGGGCCTCTTAAGTTCTAGGGTGACAGGCATGAGCCACCACACCTGGCCAGTCCCAAAATATTTCACACATAGCTGAGTCTGCATTTGGTGAAGGAACTGATAGTCACCATTTACAGTTCCCTGAAAAGACCTCTGGAACGCCCTTGGCCTCTTTCTGTTTCTTCACAGTGTGCCGTCCGCCTGGCCAAGACCGTGGGCTATGTGAGTGCAGGGACAGTGGAATACCTCTACAGCCAGGACGGCAGCTTCCACTTCTTGGAGCTGAATCCTCGCTTGCAGGTGGAACATCCCTGCACGGAAATGATCGCTGACGTCAATCTGCCGGCTGCCCAGCTACAGGTGAGAAAACGGGCTTAGGGCCTTGGGACTTCTCCGCCCTGGGTCGGGGGTCCATGTGCTGCTCCCATTAGTCCATCGCGCCCATCTCTTGGCTGACTGTCCCAGGGGAATGACTGGCCAAAGAGCACTTTGAGAAATCTGTAAAAGCTACGGTTCTCCCTGGGAAAATATCTTTTGTACAATTTCAGGCATCCATAGACCTAGAGAAATGTTTCTTAACCTTTTTATCATTATCACTCCCTGCAAAGATCCTTTGGACACATTTTATATCCTAATCCCTGTCTTGTGAAATTTTAATATCACAGATATACCACATATCTGTTTGGATATTGTAGATGTATCTGTGCTTTAGTCATGAAAAGAGTGAGTTTTTTCACTCCCAAGAACAAATATTTGTCTCTTCAGAGGCAGTATCACCCCTGTTAAGATTATGTGACCCAGAGATAAACTCTTGGGTTAAAGGGAACTCTAAATTTTTTTTTTTGTTTTTAATTTTTATGGGTATATAGTAAGTATATATATTTACAGGGTGCAAGAGATTTTTGTTTTTGTTTTTGTTTTTGTTTTTTTGAGATGGAGTCTTGCTCTGTCGCCCAGGCTAGAGTGCAATGGCACAATCTCAGCTCACTGCAGCCTCTGCCTCCCAGGCATGCAATGTGTAATAATCACATCAGAGTAAATGGGTATCCATCCCCCTCCAGCATTTATCCTTTCTTTGTGTTATGGTGTTATGAATATTCCAATTATACTCTTTTAATTTTAAAATGTACAATAAATTATTGTTGACTGTAGTCACCCTGTTGTGCTATATCAAATACTAGGCCGTATTCATTCTATTAATCACTACATTTTTGCACCCATTAACCATCCTCGTCTTCCATGCCCCTCTCTCTTCCTTTCCAGCCTCTGGTAGCCATCATTCTACTCTCTGTGTCTGTGAGTTCCGTTGTTTTAATTTTTAGCTCCCACAAATGAGTGAGAACATGCAAAGTTTGTTTTTCTGTGCCTGGCTCATTTTCATTTAACATAATGTTCTCCAGTTCCATCTGTGTTGTCGCAAATGATGGTCTCATTCTTTTTTCATGTCTGAATAGTATTCCATTGTGTGAAGGTACCACATTATCTTTTTTCTTTCTTTCTTGTTTTTGAGATGGAGTCTCACTCTGTTGCCCAGGCTGGAGTGTAGTGGTGCGATCTCAGCTCACTGCAACCTCCACCTCCTGTGTTCGAGCAATTATCCTGCGTCAGCCTCCCTAGTAGTTGGGATTACAGGTGCATACCACCATGCCCAGCTAATTTTTGCATTTTTGGTAGAGATGGGGTTTCACCATATTGGCCAGGCTGGTCTCAAATTCCTGACCTCAGATGATCCGCCCACCTCAGCCTCCCAAAGTGCTTGGATTACAGGCGTGAGCCACTGTGCCCAGCCTGTACCACATTTTCTTTATCCAATCATCTGTTGATGGACATTTAGGTTGATTCCAAATCTTGGCTATTGTGAGTAGTGCTACAATAAACATGGGAGTACAGATATCTCTTCAATATACTGATTTCCTTTCTTTTCAGTATATATTTAGCAGTAGGATTGCTAGATTGTTTGATAGTTCTACTTCTAGTTTTT